ATGTGTATAAGAGACAGATATATATATATATATATATATTGGAAAATAAAATAAGTTCAAATCAGATGTTGAAGTAGATGTCAAAAGGTCACCATGTACTAACCTCATCATATTGCAATTTATAACAGATTTGGAATCCTCAGAGCATCTCCTTTTCAATGATATTTACATTTTCAAATACAGCCTAGAAGTATTCTTGTTATGGCTGTTTGAAAATGGGTGGCCGCGCCGATTTTTATGGTTCTTTGTATTTTTTAACAATTTTTGATGGCTTATAACTTTTGATCCGACAATTAAATTTTCATAATATTTGAAATTTAAGCTTTCTCTGTCCAATAATTTGTACCAATTTTCGTTAAAATCCTAGTCGGTGGAGTGTTTACCATTGGGTGATCTGAAAGATCACCCAATGAACGTTTACTGAAAATATATTTTACTGCAATATAAAATTGTAACTTGGTTGGGTTAGCTTATTTTCTGGTTGGTCAAGGGAGACTGACTATCAAAGGTTCTACAATCAAGTCTTGTATGGGTCCTGGATAGCTAGGGAAAGCACTCTGTTTAGATGTGTTGATCTTGTTGATTATTTACTTTGCCTCATCATTTCATATTTTGATTCCAGATTTAGATGGGGGAAAACAGGTCTTAGCCCTCTAAAATTTTACCAACATGCATTTTTTGTTTTGTTTTTATGACTGTTCGACTAGATTAAAACCTCCATTTAAGATCTCAGAAAATATTATTTTATTATCTGCTCCTGTGCCATGTGGCGGCCATACTCCCATGGTAGGGCTGAAGTAAGTGTTGTTTCAAACTATTTGAAAATGTTGGTCGACTCAGACTCCCGAATAAAACTTCAATATATCTAACAGAGCCAGATGGTTATATTTATTTTTGCCTTTTTGGGAGCTTTTGAATGAAATTGGAGGAAAAAGACTGGTGTTATTTTATATAATATATTTATGTTTCAGGGTGATTTAAGTACACTACCTTTACTTGCTTGGCAATTTGTTGTCATTCAAAAATCTCAAAGCCCGAGTTCCATTGAACCAGTTCTTGCATTTGCTAGGGATAGCACTATCTATTTTTACCAGGTAAGAAAACCAAATTTTAACTACTGTTTAATTTCGATTTAAGACTAACCTAATATTAATAAAATAACAATGATAAAATAATGCAGGGCTTTTTAAATTTTTATAAAATATTAGGGTTACTAGGTGCTGAAAAGATGTGAAAATATGTTGTAATAAAAATGAGTGATGGTATATTATTAGAAAGAGGAGAAAAAAGAGGCTCGGGAGAAAATTGACATTCAAATTAATTTTCTAAGACACTGCCCCTTTTTCTCCCAGTTTTTAAATATTCAAAAGTCTGTAATTCTTCAAACACCCCTTCATCATATTAGAGAAAAAATATGCATTTTTACAACATGTTAATTTTTTCTCTCCCGAGCATCGCTTAAAAATTTTGGCATGCTGGAGATAATTTGTCATTGATACTTAAAGGGTTCCACAGTCGTGTCGTCACGATGCCAGGTGGTGATCTCTGTTTTCAACAGACATAGGTTACCGTTCATTACGCCTAAATGACTTCATAGGCTTTCTGGAATAGGCATTTTAAAATCTTAATATTTTACCATCAAAATGTACTAAAAACACAGAAACTCGCATTATGTTAGTTTTCGAACACGCATTTAATCATCAATTAAAATTTAAAAAAAATATAAAGATACAACATCTTAATAATTACTTTTGAAATTGGGATCAAAGAAAATTGCGTCCAGTTGAATGCTTTTTGCAACAATAGCAATGGATTAGTATTACGTGATATTGTGACGTAACACTGTAGTACTCTATAGCAAAAGTTCTTTTTATTCTATACCTCTATGATTATCATCTGTATTCATCAATAAGAATAATTTCATAGTAAGTGGTTTATTATTGCTCTGCAGCTCTTGTATCAGACTGATGGTACAGTCAAATTTGGTCTTTTGCAGCAAATGACTGCACCATATGTTCTCCTCAACTTTAAGGTATGTAGTTTTAGAAATATGCTTAATTTAATTTGTAATTAGTAGGTTTGTCAAATACTATATTATAGGAGTCTTATATAGGAATTGACTAAAGTTTTTTTTTGACAGAAAGGCCAAACATTTTACACAGGAATCCTTTAGAGTTTGTATTGTCATTCAGTAGGGGATTTTTTTAGTAAATTAAAATATAATTGGAGTATATCTAAAGACAACATTCAGTAAATACTGTACATTATAGGATTATAATGTTATTTGATTTATAAAATTTTATGGGAAGCTAATAGTTTTTCTGTAGGAATTCAGTTACATGTTTTCACACTTTTGTTGTATATTTATTCTTCAGTGGTTGAACCCCAGGACGTTGGTTACTGTGGATACGTCAGAGAAGCTTCGTGTAATTGATGTGCGATCTGATGAAGAACTTGAGGTCATTGACCTTGTAGATGTACAGCTAGTGTATGGTAGTAGTCATTTCAAGTCCTTAGCCACAGGAGGCAATGTTAGCAAAGCATTGGTAAGTCATAAGGAGAAGGATGGTAATAGAATGGAATTATGGAATTAAACTGAATGGATTGAGACGTAATGGGAATGGGAGGAATAGTGAGGGGAGGCACATGGACGATAGGGGAGAGCAAACGATAAAAATACTCCACTGAAGCAAGTGACCAGGTAGGAGTAGAGCTGATTTTTATTGTTACTAGTCACTTTAAGCCCCAGCTACAAGAAGAATTGTTAGCATTGGTCATTGCATTTGTGTCAGTAGGAGGTGAGAGTTGGAGGGAGTTCTAGTGTGCTATGTAGTATTTATATTTCATAATAGTAATCTTGCATTATCAATGCTTTTGTTTTTATTGTAGGCTTTAGCAGGAGAGAGGGCATGCTACCAGTCATTAGACACTTTTAATGGCCAGCTGATTCTTCTAGGAACAAAGGTAATGCTCATTTTTGTAATGGGGAAAGAGTGCAGGCTCTCTTATAAGTTATAAATGCTGACCATATCTGTATTACAAGTTCATACAACTGTCCTAATATTCTCGTAAATTATCCAGGTATAATTTGGGAAATATCCAATCATGGAGAAGTATCCTGGTGTGGAGGTTTGCCGGGCTGTTCAGGTACGAGGAACTGTTGAAGTACAGTATGGGGAATTATCTGAGTATGGAAGAACTATTCAGATATGGTGGCACTATCTAGTTAGGGGACCAAATTGTATCCTGTATGAATATTTTTTAAATAAAAAATAAATAAATAAATGTATTTGTAATGTATTTGTAGTTAATAAATGTATTTGTTGTTTGTATAAATGTATTTGCGTTTAGTTGTTGGGGGTGAAATGAAATAGAATAAATGCTGAAAATAAAATATATCTCAATGGTGAAAATATCCAGGTATAGGGGAAAATATCTTTGTTTTTCTTCTTTTTATTTTATTTATATTGCGCACATATCCAAAAAACTATTCAAGGTGCTTATTTTGCGTGGTCTTTGGATCATTAAGTCAGAGTGGGAAACTAATAAACAGTTATGAACAGAAAATCTAGCAGATACAATATAAATAGTAAAAATGGATTGAATTCAGTATCTTATTTTCATTTTATAATTTGAATATCAAGATTACATGCATTCACAAGTGTAGAGGTCAAACATTTTACAAACTCCAGTAGCTCAAAATATGAAAATCAGTGTGCAATTAATACAAAATACAGTTTGTCCAATCAATTTAAAACACAAAATTACAAAAAATAATGAATAAAGACCAAAGAAAATATCAATTACATCTGAAAACTATTGAAGTGTGACACATTTAAAATCATATATGGTGCCCTGCCATGTATAAATTTATACATCAATGATACAAGGGCATGATCACATCTCAAATAACTACCAATTTATTTTTTCAATTTGTATTCCATAAAAATTCATCTTCTAAGAGGATGGTCAGCTAGTGAAACTTTATTTATAAAGCAGTTTTTTGATATCAACCCACAGCCTATATGTTTTTGAATATTCACATATATACATGAATATAATTACATATGTTTATATATACTTTGTTGACAGTCGATTCATGTTATGACAATCAGGCAGTGGCAGGATGTAAGTATCTTTCATTGTATTAAAATCTTTCTCTTTCTCATTATCAATACTACTTAACAACATCTAACTCAGCAAATTATTTAAGCTTGCCAGACTTGAGTGATTTCAGCAACTATCAGCCAGTAAGACAAAGTATAATTTGGTGTTTTTGCGGCTGTGAGGCAGCAAAAAACAGATCAGCAGGAGATTTAATTGTGCAAAAAAAAAAAAAAATAAAGTTCTCACCAAATGCTGATGTTCAACATTACACATGGTAGACTTAATTTTGTTTTCGTTATCCTTTGCTATTCTTTTAAAATTCCTGTGGAATGTCAGACATTTTGGCACATACTGTAAAACCAGAAACATCTTTAGTGGTCCAGACTTGTGCAAATTGTTTCCGAGAAGACAAGCAATAAAATTGATAATACTACTATATTGTGCATTCATTGGGCCGGGGTAGTGAAGCTTCATTTAAAACTACTTTTTGTTTGCCAAATATTTCTGAAAATAGAAAGTTTTAATCGATAACCTTACAATTGGAATCGGTGGCAGATCCAGAAATTTTAAGTAGAAGGGTCCCAGAGAGAGACTTTTACAGATAGAGGTCTAAAACACTTCAGTCCCACCATGGTTGGTACTGAGATATAAAATGTTATGACTATGTCACCTCTAGATGACCAGAAATGGAACTCTCAGAATTAAATTTGAATACATTTTTTAATTTTTCTCCATTTTGGCAAATTTTCTATAATTTAATTTTTTTGGGATGCAATTTTTTGAATTTTGAAATAATGTAAATTTCCTCCTTTATCTGTCAGCGTATTGATCTTCTGGTGCGTCAGAATAAATTCCAGGAAGCCCTAGCACTTGCAATGTCATTCTATGAGGGAAAGGCTAAAGCTGTAGTTGGTGAGTATTCCGCATTTCTCTTATGTCATAATCAGTAACATCTATTATCACGACTTTCCATAATTTCAAGCTGCTGTTAAAAATAGTGTCATTATAATGATGGTCGTATCAAGCGGTGTCATAATTTCAAGCTGCTGTTAAAAATAGTATCATTATAATGATGGTATTAATACATATGTTTGTGTAACCATACCATAAATACTGGGGAGTTTATGGTGGTTTTTCGTTGGATTTGATTTATTCATTGATTTGATTTGACTTTATTCAGTATACCACATCAACAAGAAATAGCAAATAACAATAATTTTCTTAAACATCCTTTAAAAAATTGAAAACATTAAAAATTAAGTCAATAAAATGCGATGTTGAAAACCATGGTATAAAAACGACTTATTTCCAATGGGGTCCTTGAGAAAAAACAATAGTAATCAAGTTAAATTAAAGTGCTGCATAGCATAAAATGGTAGGTTTAAAAGGCATAAACAATTTTTTAAAGTATAAAATATCAATGCTAAAATTAAAAAGTTTCAAAAAAAAAAAAATAATAAAAATAATAATTATGAAACACCAAGGAAAACAAACTGATATATAATGGGTTATTTTTAAAGGATTGGTTGGCAAGCAAAAACGGAAACAGATTCTAGTGGACAAGGTAAGTATAAGGTGATGGCTCATTCAAAATGTCAATTTAAAATGTGTGTATAAATTATCAGAATCAATACATAAAACTTAATAAATGAAATTGAGATAATAGTATAAATTTAAGTATAAATGTTTTGTTTCTAGATAATGGATGTGTTATATAATTTTGTTGATATTTCAATGACTCAGAACTGCCCTCAGAGCGGAGGAACATTTTTACTGACAGAACACTTTCAGGTGAGTATCTTTTCTTCTTTTAATCTAGTAACCAATAGTACCATGAACACCTATAAATTACATATACCTTTGTAAAATCGGGTATGTTATGTAATGTTTCATAATTTTCTACATTATTAGTATTTATGATTTTTAATCTCTTTTTTTAGCCACATAGATTATTCAAAATTTTACACGATTTTTTTCATTTTCTATGGTGGTGGTGATGGTGATGATGATGACAACGATGATGATTAAGGTTGATCATAGTTGATCATGGTTATCATGTTTTGGACCATGGTTGGGACTGTGGTTGATCTTGGTTCCAGTTCTTGTAGTTGATTGATTCATATTTAACAGAATGATGGAAAGATAGAGGGTAGTGTTCAATGGCAGCGGAACGTTTTTGAAAGTGGGGGAGGGGCCATTTCATAAGGTAATAAATCCAGTATGCAAGTGAAACGAGCGTCTAGGTGGGTGCCAGGGGTCCGCCATGGGCCCTCTAAGCTACAGATATTTGATGAAGTTTGGTGAATTCTATTACTTATTTTATAGGCATCAATCTACTGTAATATGACTTCATAATTGTTGTATTTTCCGAATTGTTACATTTTCCGAAGTCGAGTTTGCTTCCACGATAACCATGAATTATTCATCATGTGAGGGGTATCCTTGATATGATATTCCCCAATGAAAATATTACCCTTCTAGTAGCCCGCAAATGGTAATTCAACAGTGGCAGGTCCGGGAAGTCGAAAGAGAGTGGCCTAAGTAGGGACTGCCCAGATAGAGGGTCACCCACCTCAGCCCCATCATAGTTGGGGTTGAGGAAAGAAAAAAATATGATTATGACACCTCTAGATGACCGGAAATAGCACTTTCAGATTTAAATTTGAATATAATTTCTTGTTTTCTCCTTCTTTTTTAATAATTTTTAAAAATCTAGGAGGGTGGGGGCCTGTGCCAGTTATGCTCCGCCACTGCTTAATATAACATTTGACCTGTCATTGTGTGTCAAAAGACTAATTCGTAATGTTAATCAAAAAGTTTTTTCACTACAGTTTTTACAACATATAAAAATTTGAAAATAATTTTCTGTTTACTCCATCTTTTTTCAATAATTTTGAAAAATTTAGGAGGGTAGGGGCCCGTGCCGGCTGGGCTCCGCCGCTGTTTAATATAACATTTGAATAAACACTTTGTTTTACAAAGACTACTTTGTAACGAAAAGGTTTTCACTACATTTTTTACAACCTATAATACATTAATTACAATGTATAAATTTTGTAGTTAAAACTTTAGAAGAACTTTTTTTCTGTAGAACTTTTTTTTAATAAATGGCCTCATTAAGTATCTTATTACTTTTGTTAAATTAGATGGAAATTAAATGTGGTTATATATACGTAATATTATTAGGCTAATTTGATCGTATACTGTAAGCCAATCAGGTACACTTCCATCTTCATCGTTTACATAAACAGAACTAGAGCGTTGCACTATAAATAGTGCCTGTCTCTTCCCTGTGCCTAAATACATAATTTACGCAATGCAGGCGAGCGATTCCATTGTTTTCTTCATGCTCAAGGATATATGTTTCAAGGAAACTTTTCGTCAATCAATATTGTACACAATGGTTGCTCAACTCAAAAAGAGAACTTGTAATGTTGTTGTAAAAATCTATAATAAGTCGATTTATGAGGCAAAAATGAACAAGGTCTCTGAGCACCAACAAATTATAATAATAATGATCAACAAATTATAATAATAATACTGAAATTGTATAGCAATGTTTGTCACTGGTGCTGGGTGCAGTCACGAAAGTGGGGGGGGGGGGGGGAGAGGGGTGGAACCAGGGCCCCCAGGAGAAAAAGTGGAGGGGCCAATAGCCCCCCTATCCCCCGCACAGCAGTGCAGTGCTGAAGTTCTCAGAAAAAATTCTTTAAAAGTATACAGTTACACGCTGATAGTTTAAACTGTAGCATACCGTAGGCTAGATTTTACCAGGAAGGTGTAATTTTAGTTAGTTTTTATCTTGAAACAATACACTGCACATTGTAGGCCTAGCCAGGTGCTCAGGCATCTATGGCAACAAGTTAAGAGTACCCCTGTGTCAGGGAGACTTAAATCTGTCTCTTATACACATCTGATTAAGGTTGATCATAGTTGATCATGGTTATCATGTTTTGGACCATGGTTGGGACTGTGGTTGATCTTGGTTCCAGTTCTTGTAGTTGATTGATTCATATTTAACAGAATGATGGAAAGATAGAAGGTAGTGTTCAATGGCAGCGGAACATTTTTGAAAGTGGGGGAGGGGCCATTTCATAAGGTAATAAATCCAGTATGCAAGTGAAACGAGCGTCTAGGTGGGTGCCAGGGGTCCGCCATGGGCCCTCTAAGCTACAGATATTTGATGAAGTTTGGTGAATTCTATTACTTATTTTATAGGCATCAATCTACTGTAATATGACTTCATAATTGTTGTATTT